CTTTCTGGATCATTTGAATTCTATAAATCTAAAATCATTCCAAAATAAAAAAATAATTACTAAAAAACACTAAACAAAAAAGTCCTTTATTTTTTAGAGATACCTACTAACAGGTACAATGAAATGATGGGATATCTGGGCTGGGTTTTAAAATAACTCACTGGTTGGGGGTGTGGGGTATGTAGCTGAATTGAGATTGACTTTACATTGGTAATTGTTGAAGCTGAATGATGGGTGCCTAGGAGTTCACTGACAATTGTCTCCACTTTTGTATGTTTGAAAACCTCCATAATAAGAGTTGACAATAAGCAAATAAGCAAACAAACATGGACTCCAGAGGCAGACTGCCTAGAAAGTTAATCTGTGTGCTGCAGTTTTCTCCCCTATAACTGTGCATGTCTCACAGGGCAGTTGTGGAAACTAAATAGGTTAATACACAAAAAGCCTGGAACAATGTTTGGCTATCATCACCATCCTATGCAGAGAAAGATGGTCACAGACCAAAGCACATGAAGGCAAGTCATCTTTGTCCACCCTCTGATGCTGTGTGTTGTCCTTTCTCCCCCTGCCCTGCTGCACAGGGAGATCTTTGAAGGGTGAAAGGAAGCAGGGCCCTGGGGCGACTCCAAGGAGTACGGAAAGACCTTGGCACCCAGTCTCACAAAAGTGGTGAGACTCAGTGAGGATCGAGAGACTTTGGTGGCATCCCTGGTGTGAGCTCCAGAAATGGATCCTGGATTATGAACCACTCAGGGTCTGAGGGGCTGAAAGCAACCAGTATGATGGTTTGAGATGGTGGGTGGAGGTTGGATTCAAGGAAGAAACGGTCAGTAGGGATGGGCCATACAGGCCTTTGGGGCCCTTTCAAAAGTGAAGTCTTTGTCTCTGAAGCAGGGGAAGCTACTGGAGGGTGTTTAAGTGTGTGTGGGTGGCAGGGAGTCACCTGATCAGACCTGCGTTGGAGGCAGGAGTCACCTCCTGAGGACTGCCTCCAGAAAAGGGAGGGCCTGGAATGGGGCCAGCGTGAATGCAGAGAGCACTCTCAGGCTTCCCTCGCAGCTCAGGAGAGAAATCATGGGGAACTGGTCTAGAATTTCAGCCGTGGAGACCGGTGGACTTGAGAGCTGTTTTAAGAGATGAGAACTCGGAGCCTCTGGTTGTATTGAGAAGTTGAGGGAGAGGAAGGGAAGTGTACAGGTGACTGCCAGGTCTCTTTGGACACAGTCAACTGGATGGCATGTTGGGCTGCCTGCACAGGAGAGAAGTGTGTGGGAGAGGATGGTTTGGAGGGAAAAGGAGAAGTTCCTTAAGGTGGATGAATCACACACACTGTGCTTTATGAAGGTCACCGTGCTGGAGGAGGAGCACTTCAAAAGCAAGCACCACACTTTTATTGCCCTCAGGGATGGTGCCAGATACCAGCAACGGCTGCCTGGGTGGAGTAGTCTCAGGTGTGCATTTATGGCTCCCAGAGGTGATCTGAGCAAAGGACTCAGTCAATAAAGTTCTCAATAAGTGTTTGCTGTGTGACAAAATGTCCTGAAGAGCTACAGGAAGAAAACCAACCCACAACTCTTAATTTAGCACATCACTGTTTGTTTGGCTCCACCTCAGGGCAAGATGGAAACAAGGGAGGGCAAGGTCAACCTTTCATCCAAAGGTGTACTGCACACCAAGTAACCACATAGAATGCCAAGGACCACAGAGCAGACTGTCAGTAAAGGCTGACCTATGAGGATCCCGTTCAGGGTGGCCAAAGAGGTGGAAGGAGGAAGTCAGTGATCTGGTCCAGGGGAAGAAGGACAGACGTGTTTCCCAAGGAGGTGGGCCTGACGGAGCCTTGAAGGATGAGTAGAATGTGTATGGAGAGCCGGTACAGGGGGACAGCCAATGAAGGGTCACTCAAGTCTAGGCGAAGGCACCCCTGATGGTATCGCCCTGGAGTGGCACCGGACACTGGCAGGAAGACGCCAGTCAGTGTCGACTCAGACACCTACATGCTGAGATGGCTTATTTTTTAGAGATCAAAGTCCTGTTTAAAAACAGTGGGAACATTTTCTCAGGAGGGTGTGGAGCACAGTTCCTTAATTACCAGCGAAGCTCGATGCACCACTTTGCTGCAACCAGTCCCTCTCCTACCACCACCAAAAAACAAAAACAAAAAACCCTCACAACACCGACCTTCGTGCAATTTCCCTTCTTCTTGCAAACTTCTTTCTGTCTGGCTCTGCTGCCCCCCGCCCAAAACAAGCTCAGTTAACTTCAGCCAAGTCTCTGCCGCTTCCCTAATAAAACTCGGTTTCCTCAGCGCTGGAGGCAGAGTACGGAGGAAATGCGGCGGCCCGCGGCGTGGGAACCGCCCCTCCCTGCCTGGATCCGGATTGCGGGTTCGATCTCCGGCTCCGCCGCCGAGGGCGAGTTAGTGATGCCCTGTCGGGGGTCCCGGGACTAAAGGACCACTGTTACCGTGCCCGGAGGAGCCCGACCGGGTCGGACAGAGCGCAGCCTTCGGCGGCCCCAGGACCCGGGTGCGGGAGAGCCTCCGCGGAGGTCGCAGCGACTACAGCAGCGGCGGCGGCTAGTACCTCCGTGGGAGGGGGCTGGGGAGGGTTCTCGGCAACGAAGACCCTCCGAGCGACCCGCGGCCCCATGGGATGACACAGCGTTTCCTCCGCTCCACGGCTCTCCCTGCACATTCTCACTCCATCCCCGGCAGGACCCCAGCCGGTCGACCCGCTGCGTCAGCGAATCCCCCGGCGGAGAGGACAGGGGTCGCCGGGCCGCAGGCAACACTCGGCTCGCGGCCCTAACCCCTAGTGCATCGTGGGCCCGGCTTCGGGAGCGTGACCACGGGATGCGGATGCTGCCCGGAGGCTCTGCCAGCAGCTCGGAAACAATATCAGTGCCCACCGGGGTAAAAAGTTGGAAGGCATCTCGGCCACGCCAACTTCCCATCCAGGGCCGGACTCGAACTTTCCGCCCAGAGTGGCGGGCTGCACCGCCCAAAGGAACCCCGCAGATGCTGCTTGGACCCGGGTGCCCAGGATCCCCGGCCGCGGCCGTGGTGGCCAATCGCAGAGCGCCGCGGGCGGGAAAGGCTGGAGGGCTCCGGCAGCCGGGAGGTGACGGCACAGACGCCCAATAAGAAGCCAGGGTGGGAGTCCTCTCCCACTCCGCTGACCAATGGGAATGGCCGCAGTTCCTGAGGCAGTAGCTGCAGGTTCCCTGGTGGCCGCGGGTCGCAGACCTCAGGGCTAAAGGAAATTTTGGAGAGGAATCTGCCTGCCCTCCCTGTACCACCCGTCGGCCCTCAGACCACAGCCCGGTTCTCACCTGCTGGAAGCGGGGTTTTCCCAGCTGGAAAGGAGGTGCATCAGTCGAGACGTTAGCGGTACTAGCCGCCGCCGCTGCTGTAGTCGCTGTATCCGCCATGGCCACTGACGCCCGCAATCTCCGGCCCTTTTAAAATGTCCCTCCTCAGCCCCCGCCACAGCTGCTTCTCCCGATTGGCCATAAGCAACCGCAGCGAGCCGGAGGCGCAAGGGGTTGTGGGGAGTGTAGTTTTTCTCCTTACAGCGCTTGACAACCCTGGACTGCGGAGAGTTGCACGGACTCAGACCGCGTCTCGGTTCCCGCCTCCCGTTTTGCAGGGATCTGCAGTCCGGGAAGAGTGTGCGTGTACGACTGTCAGGTCCCGACGGGCCACGGGGTGGACCCCTCTCTGGTTACCTGCCCCTAGAAGTTTGAGTTTCTGTGGAGGGCGTCGCTCCTGGAGCTGCAGCCCAGAAGAGCCCTACTCAAGCGGGTCCCACCAGATGGGACGAGATGGAATAGGACTCCAGGCGGAGCGGGTTAATCTCGAAAGGCATTCTGCAAGGAGCTGCGCTGAGGAATCTTGCAGTTTCTTCTGTCCCCCCTCTGCCCTTCCCCTTGTGCTCTCCAGCCACTCTGACACTCGATTCCTGTAGCATGCTGGGCCCTCCCCAACCCTTCAACATTTTCTGTACCCAGGCTTCTTTCGCCTTAAAGTGGCTCTCTTTCTGGCCTCAGCCTAAGCAGTGCCCCTCCCAATCCATCGCCCTACTTCCACAAAATCCACTTAATGCTTCTTGTAGCGCCCAGCACTTATCTTTTGCAGCCCTTGCAATTATCCACGGTCTTGATTATCTGTCTTTCCTACTGTAAGGTCCACAGTACAGGAGGTTGTGACTTTTTGATTCACTGCTAAGTCCTCAGTGCCAGGCATGGGAGGACTCAGAGCAGGGACTCTTTTATTTGTTGCCTGTGTAATTAACAGGGACTTAAGGCCTTAGCAGCCTCCATGTCCTTCGGCCAACCAGGCAAGATCCCTTCCCAGCCTAATTCCTAGGCAGTGGGGAGTCGGGTTCAGTAGTTTATCAAACACAAGGGCCTTAGGTGAAGGGGAGTACTGCAGATTGTAAAGCAAGGCACCAGCAGGGATAATAAACACACTCAACTGCAGAACAGAGTAGAAAATTCCCAGCTGAATTGCCTGGTCAGCAAGCCAGACTAGAGGTAAGGGAAGCTGCCTACTTCACCCAAGAGGACAGCAGAAATACTTGCTTTTGACCTTACGGAACCCCACTTTGGTCTCCTTAATCTGGTGGCCAGACATAGGATTGGCTCAAGTCCGCCCATGTCTTTCTTTACAGTCAGTTCAATAGTTGAGCCACAAGAAACATCTTTCTTACATCTAGAGATTCTAGCTAGCTATGAAAAATCATCTGTATCCTGATCTTCCCTTTCTTTCCCTACTAGACTAAGTAGGTTGAGAACAGGATTCAAGTCTTTGACCCTCGGTATTCTCCCACAGTACTCAATAAATGCGGGTATCCTGGGAATGAGGAAAGACTGGGTCCAGCCTGTGTTGTTGTCCCTGATATCAGCACAGAGGCAGTGTTGTCCAAGAGCCCATCACCTGCCTTCTCCCCCAGGACACTTCCTTTATATGCTCATCAAAACAACACAACAGAGCCACCTGCAGTATGTGAACATTTTATTCTTTATGAAGTGTTCAAAACACGAAGAACAAGCTTTTTATAAACAGGAGTTACAACTAGGAAGACAAACAGCAAAGCAGAACTGTGACTGCTTCCTGCCCGCCCCACCTTATGTCTCCTCCAAACGTGTGGCCAGGAGCAGGAAACATCTAACAAGAACCTTGGGCTTCAACTCAAACCTCTTCTGAGGACATCCCTGCTCTGAGCATTTTGGAGGCCGCCACCAAGGATGATAAGTGGAAGAATAGGGTCAGGGCTGGGACTGCTTAGAGCCCAGAGAAATACCAAGTAGAGTGACCCCCTTCCCTGAGAAGAGATACCTATCCAATCCCCAATGACCCCCAAAAAGTATACCCGAAGTCCTAGAACCCCATGGATACTTTCCTCAGCTTTAATGGACCTTAAGGTAGGTTAACGTTACAGGGGCTTTGACCCATATGTGGGGTTCCTCTGCTTCGTCCTGGCAGGTAACAGCACACAGACATGATGCCTTGTGAGGCCTTCTGAATGACCCCACAGGCCTCTCATGGAGAAGAGGTGATCTCAGAGGAGCTCTCACCTCCTCATTGGGCCAAAAGTATCCTCCTTCAGCAGCTTATAGCCCTACAACTTTTGCTAAAGAAGGAGGGTGCCCCAAGCCACCAAAGGTTCCCTGCAGATGCTGTGCGGAAGCTGCCTTGTTTTCTGCAAGCAAACCAGGGGCTGGGCCAAAGGACAGACACTTTGGTTCAAAGTGCACTACAGCCAAGCCAAGCAAGGCCATGGGGCAGAAGGGACAAGCTTGTGGATGGATGGGAGGGCAACAAAGCCTTTTTCCTAAGTACAGGTGGAGTGGGACCTCCCACTTCCAGAATGTGGTTTTTATTTAATCCTAGGATCCTCCTCAGTTGGGGTTGAGGGAAGAGAAGATGGCAGGGAGGTTAAGGAGCCAGTTGAGCTTGGCTAGACCCTTAACTGAAATTAACTCTAGGGGAAGGGCAGAGGGCGCAGCAGGCTGCCCACATCCTCCTTTTCCATTCCAGAGCCCTGACAGATCCAGCCCCCTGTGCCCAACAGGGAGGAAGGGACAGACACCGAACAGGGGAGAGGTCTATATCCAGAGGCTCTTGACCCCACCCACAAAAGGCACATTTTAATGGGTTTCCAAAAATTCAAACTCTCCAGCAGCTTGGAGTTTTGGCATCTGGACAAGCAAAGAGAACAGAGATGGAGGCTTAATCCCCAAACATAAGCAGTACAAAGCCCTGAGGCTGGAGGGGCCCATACCCTTGGGGTGCATGGGGAGGCACTCTCCCCCACCTATCCCAGCTCTCCCACATTCACACAGGACAGTCATGGAAAGGTCAGAAGAGGGCAGGGAGGGGCCTAGCAAGTGCACACCACTCCCCCCATCCACACCGCATTTGTTCCACAAACAGGTGGAGACAGACAGACTTGGGACATGGCCAAGAGGAGACTAGACCATTTGGGCTCCTTGCTCTCAGGGGAACATACACAAGGCTAAATGGTAGGTGCCCAGGTTGTCAAAAATGCACAGATGGGCAGCATGGTTCCTGCCTCAGCCCCAGTAATACTAGGGGCCCTCCAGGGCTGGAAGGAGACGAAGAGGGCAAGAGTGTAGCCATGGAAGAAACGGCTGATCATTCTTGTGGGTAATTAAGTATGTTCCAGATACCACCTAAAAGTGCAGCATATCTCCTATGCTTTGACTTGAAGGCTAAACTCTTTGTTCCAGTTCCCCAGAGCCCCCAAAGCTAAGGGACATGAAAATAGGTAGGTGGGAAGGACCTAGGGCTCCCAAAGACATACAAGTTGCATACGAAACCTGATGCCTCCAGTGGGACTCCAAAGGGCCCCCCTTCCAGCAGCCCTGGTTGAGGCAGGAGGGAAGGAGAGCAAGGAGTGAGGGCAGAGGACAGACTGTACCCCACCCCAGGCAAGACAGCTCAATGGGAGGGATGGAGGGCTCAAGTCTGTTTGAGCCACAGGTCCACACCGACCCTCTCGGGGTGGGGATAAGGAGGGCTACTTAGGGGGCCCAGGGGAGATTTGCAGCAGTGTGGGTGAGGTCTCCATGATCCGCACCAGCAGCCGGTCAATGTAGCTCTCCAGCTCCTGCACGTGTTCCTCCCGCTGGCTCAGCTCCCGCTCCCGCTGCAGTAGCAGGCTGATGAGTTCATCGTGGGTTAGGTGGTAGTACTTGGCTGACTGGTCCAGCACACCTGAGTCCTGCAGCCAGATGGAACGACAGTGAGCAGGGCAGGACAGCCTCAGGATTACTGCCCTCCAGCAGCCGGGTTTCAACTGCCCCTGGAGCTGCCTGTGTTCAATGCCAGAGATGGCCTTGAAGGGCTCTGGGATCCGGGGCCAGGCCTGCTCCTTGCTCCTTGCTCCGCCCTGCCCAGCACCCTGCTCCTGACCTCTCTACACAGTACCACATATCTGGTCAGATGCCCCCTGGCACCTGCTGGGCCTCACCTTCAGTCTTTTGGTGTCCACGGCCTGGCCAACATGAGGAGCCAGAGCCACAGGCTGAACACTGCCAGATGTAACCGTCTTGAGCTTCTCCAGCCCGCTGCTCAGGGCTGTGCTCAGACTGGAGCGGGGCTGCTTCCTGTCCGGGCTGTTCTCCACGGGAGCAGCACTGAGGGGCTTCACAGGGTGGGGACTGAAGAGACAGATGGAAGAAGCATTATAGGGAAGGATGAGCGACACAAGGGAATGGTGGGGCCACCTTCTCTATGGGGCCAAGAGGTCTGCTGGACAGAAAGCCACCACACAGCCAAGGCCCTAGGGCAGCTACACCCAGCATTCCTCAGCAGCCTTTCTCTCCTCCTTGCTCCTACCCCAGCACCTGCCCCCTCCCCCATTTTATTCCCTCAGATGACCTCACCCCTCTGCAGGGACAGCAAAGGGCTGTCCTACAAACTTCTCTGCACTTATGCCCAGTCTGTGCCAGGGCCACATCCCCTGGTCCATTGTCCCTAAACCCTCTTCTATGCTGTAATCATTCTCTACAGGGGTTACCAAACCTCCCAGGTTCTCCATTTCCCCAGGACTGGGGATTCTCAGGATGCAGGACTTTCAGTGCTAACATCAGGAAAGACTTGGGCAAACTGGGATGCTTGGTTACCCCTCCCCTCCCTGCTGCTTGCTTGCCTCCATCCTCATTTACAGGCCTAAGACCCTCCCCCTTGGCCTTGTCTTGCCCAGCTATCACCCTCAGTCATGCCCCACATTTTCCTTCTCACCCCGCCTCTCCAGGACAGACAGACTAAGACTACATTCTGCCTCTAGAGGGCTCACCTTCTGTTGACTTCTCAACCCAATTAGAACAGGACATTGGTCCCACCAGCCCATCACCTGTTCCTGTGGAGACCACCAACCCCATTCTGTACACGCTGACCTCTCTGTGGAGGTGACACTGGGATTCCTTCTTTCTTTGGGCTGCTCTCCTCCCTATTTCCCCCCAAGACCTCTGTCTGGTTCTCTGACTGACAGCCCCTTCTCAGTCTGAACTGCTAGTTTGCCCATGGGCTCTCTCCCCTCCAGCTTCTCAGCTCCCTGCAGCCTGGACCTCACCAGTACTCTAGACCCAGAAGACAGCTGCAGGCTGCCTTGCTCCACTTGGGGGCACCTCTGACAGGTTGCACTCCCCTCCACGCTGGCTCTTTCCTGCATTCTCCCAGTGTGAGTGGCACCATCGGCCTCCCACGACCCCAGTCAGAAAGCAGGGAACCCCTCCAAATCCCCAACTCAATTTCCACCTTAGCAAACACCAAGCCCTGCTACCGTCTCACCTTCTCTCCTGTGACCAAACCCCTTCTCCAAGCAGATGCTAGCTAACCTTCCCTCTGGCCACAGCGGCTCCAGTGGAGTCCTGTGGGGTCCTGCCCACCTCTAACACTCCTCCATTTTGTCGTGGGATAATACTCTCAACCCTCCAACACTTAAACAGCCTTCACTGGGTAAGAAAACACAATCTCTAGCACAATCTGGCCCCCGCCCTTCCCCCTGGCCCTCCACTCCCCCATACACCCTAACCAATGGAAACTGCTCACTCTCATCTCCAGGCTCTTACAAAGTTGTTCCTCTGACTGGAACACTGCCCTTCACCCGCTGGCCTACTAACTCATGCTTCAAAGCCACTTCCTCTGGGAAATTTTCCTGATTCTCTCAAGCTAAGGTGACCTTCCTCTGGGATCCCCCAGCACGCAGTACCTATAACATACATATCCAAACTGCAAGCATTAGGCCCCCAAATCAACTAACCTGTCCTTAGGGGGCCTCTTAAAATTCATGCTTACTTCACAGAGGATTTGGACCGTTCAGAAGCAGGAAGCAAAATGGCTTAGCCGGAAGCCCTGAATTCCACTGTCCCAGCTCTACTACTCAGGATAATGCCGTGGGTTCAGTTTTATAACCAAAGAAGAGCAGCAGAGAGCCCAGGCAGAGGCAGGCAGCAGGGAGAAGAATGCATGTCAGTCCTTCCTTTCCACCTAGGATTCTGCATTCGGGATGGGGGTACATTAAGAGCAATTCTAATGCCACGGGCTATGCCTGTGGAGGGAGGAGTACCAGTGTGCATGTAAACAGCCTGCCTGAGGAGATGGGAGTCCTGGGTTCTCAGTCTGATTGCTCCCATACATCGGAGGGCCCTGGATTCTGCAGCTCTGGTGGACTCCACTTCCTCCTCTGAGAAATGGGGATCACTCTATCTGGCCCACCCACTTCAGATGTAAGGAACATGTCAAGTACAGACATGAGGCCAACTGTGAAGAGAATAAAACTTCCCCAGAGTGGTGCAACTAGAGCTGGTGCTGAGATACAGCGGGGCCAGCTCAGCACGCTGCCAGCAGAGCAGGGCAGCTGTAACCGCCTCCTCTCCCCTCTGGGAGCAGCTCACGGCTACCACTGGAGGAGCAGCCGGACCAGCCTGGGCTTCGCATACATCCCCACCCCCTTCCCATACATCAGCCCGGGGTTCACTTGGATCTTCCTCACTGGATTGGGAACTCCTTGGGGATATCTTGGGGGGTGTCTTCCATCTCTGTTCAGTGTCTGACACACAGTGGATGCTCAGTGAATCTGGGTGACTGAATGCATGAGCCAATTGACTCAAGGCTCCAGCACTGGAGCCGGTCCTGCTCCCCAGGCCCTTACTCTGCCCTGCCAATCAGAGGCATCAGCCCCTTCCACGCCACTTCTTCACTCAGGCCTCCAAGTACACTAGCATCCCTTTGGACTTCACAGTCCCTGCTAAGTCATAGTCCATCACCCCCCAGAGACCTCAGTCCTGGTCAGCCCTCCCCAGCCACCTGGCCTCATACTTCTTCCATAACAGACCACCGCCACAGTGATCCTGGCCACACAGGCGTCCACTGTCCACTCAGCACAGTACTAAGTACATCAGGACCGCCCCTGATGGTCACAAGCGCCAATCCATGAGGCTCCACCACGAGTGGAGCTACAGACCCTTTCTTCTGAGGGTCATATTCATGAGGAACATTTTCATTTTTCTTTTTGTCTTCAAATCGTGGCTCTGGCTTTCCTCTCCTACCATAGTATTGGTTCCTCCTCTGGCTCTCTGCTCACAGCCTGTCCCCCAGAGACCTGCCATGGACGACAAGGTCCCCATTTGACAAGCATCACTGCCAATGGCACCCAGCCCCTGGCAGCTGAGTGTCCGAGTGCCCATTCCCCTTACCTTGCCAGCCGACATCACCTCTCTCCACCCCATTCCTCACTCCCTGCACCTCATCAGTGTTATCCCCCAAAACCCTGGCTTGTAGGGATATTCTACTTGTCCAAGGTCCCAAGAAAGAGGTGGCTTCAGAAAAGTCTCACAGAATGCTCATGTCTTCAAAGCCCGCTCCATCCTGCCGCAGCGTGAAGGAGCCCCTCATCCGCCCCCAGAGAGGCTGAGGCTGGACTGTGAATACCTCAGCCCCTGGGCTGCCCTGCCCCCCTTTACCCTTCCTCCTCTTCTTGAGGTGGTTGCTCACCTGGCGCTGGGCTGTGGCTCCTCAGCTGGTCGTGTCTCCAAGGGCAGAAGCACAAGCGGGGAGGCTGGGGTGGCTGCAGCGCGATCCTCCCCAGGTGGGGCAGGGGAGCTCCCAGTGGGGGTGGCTGGCTCCCCAGGAGGTGGGGAGAAAGAGGTCAGGGGCTGGGCTCCAGGCAGGGGAGAGCACTGTGGACTGGGTGCCCCGTGGTGGTGGCTGGCCCAGGACGGGAGAGGGGGTGGTGGGAAGGCAGGCTCTGGGGGGGTGGGTAGTTCTTCTGGACCAGAGTAGATGGAAGATTCCCTGGACCCTGGTGGGGATGTGGACGGGAGGCTGGGGGGATCTTGGCTCCCCTGAAACAAGAAGGGGTAGGAGGCATCCCCCTCCGAGGCCCACACATCAGCCTGCTGGGAGCTGCCTGACAGGAGCTCAAGCCCCTGTCCTGCTGGCCCCTGGCTCTGGGCCTCCAGAGTCTCAGGACCTTCTCCCTTCTCTGGAGTCCCCCGGGTCTGCTGACTCTGAAGAGCCAAGCTCTCTGAGTGACAGGGTCCGGGGGCAGGCCCCTCAGGGAAGCTGGTGGGCATGGACAGGTAGGACCCAGACGCAGGAGGGCTGGCATCCTCCACTAGGTCTTCCAGGCCTGGCCCACTCAGCGCGGCTCCGAAAGGACAGCTATCAGACTGCCGCCCCGGCTTCCGGCCCTCCTCCTTGGTCTCCTGGGGACCAGCAGCCAGCACACTTGGGAAGGTGTCTTCTCCTCCTGTCTCTGCCCCCCTGCCACTCAGCCCTTCGGCCTTTTCCTCCTCCTCCTCCTCCTTGGAATCTGAAGGTGTGAAGAGGCGCGGTGGCTTAGGAGGTGGGCTGCTGGGCTGCAGTCCCTTGTCCAACAGCAGCTTGGGTTTGGGCCCTGGTTCCAGCTCCAGGTGGGGGAGCCCCTCACTGCCCTTGGGGCTCACAGGTTCTGATGACCCTGCCTGCACCTGGGGAGGAGGCGGTTCATCAGACTCTCCCGGACGGACTGGTGAGGACATCTCAGCTGCAGGAGAAATGGTGACCACATCCCAAGGCCAGGCATCGCCAACTGTATTGAGCTCATGCAAAAGCTGGCTTTCGCCTTGGGAGATCCCCTGGTCCTGGCCTTCAGGGGCGTCCTCTGGGCCAGGCAACCTCTCGCGCACACTGATCACTTCTGGAGAGCTAAACAGAGATGTCGCACTGTCCACTGGACTCTGCCCTGCTTCCTCTCCTGGGGCCGGTGGCTCTCTGTCCACCTCAGAATCTGAGGCTCTCGGGTACAGCTGGGTTGGTGTGGAGGGCAGGTCGGCCCCTACTGAATTGAGGGACCCCGCATCGGCCGCACTCGTGCTCTGGTAGTCCAGTCCTGAGTCCAAAGGAACCCTGAGCTCCAGCCACATGCTGCTCACACCTCTTCCTCCTCCCCCAGGCCCCCCCTGGGGCTCAGCTGCCTTCACTGTCATGGCTCCAGGGCCTGGGTCTTGCAGCCCAGTCGCCTCCAGCCCCACTCCTGCAGGGGCCAAGATCTCGCTCCTGGCCTCTGGATGCAGCCTGCTGGCTGTAAAGATGTTGAAGGCGTCGTCCCACTCAGGCAGGGCTTTCCCAGGGGAGGCCAGGGGGGTGGGGCTGGCCCTCGAGGCACTGGGGAGAGAGGGAGCAGGTGAAGGAGAGTTTAGTGCTATGTCTGCTAAGAGTTCCTCGAAGAAAGGGTTGCTCTGCAAGGAGGTGAGGAACGGGTTGGTGAGACCCAAGAATCCAGACGGGGTGGCTTCAGGGGCGGCGGCCGTGGCTGCAGCAGGGGAGGCGGCTGCAAAAAGGTTAGTGCTTAGCATGGGAGCAGCGCTGGGAGCAGGAGTAGGGGGGGCTGGAGCACAGGGGGGGCAAGGGAGGTGGTGAGGAAGAGCAGCTGGGCCAGGTTCTACCTGAGGAGACACGTCCAGGCTGTGGAGGGAGACAAAACCATGAGCCTCCTGGTTAACGCGGAGACTGGAAACGCCCCTGCTGAATACCATACCCTCCCACCCCGTGCCTTGGGACAGGTGCCACACACCTCCAGGCTGAGTTCGGGCATGTGCGCCAGGAGGCAGAGAGAAGCACGTAACATCATTAGGCCCTACCCAAGGAGGAGGATGCCGGACAGAGCTCATTTAACCCCACACCAGCCCAAGAGAGCAATGATCCCATTTTACAGGCAGGATCCCGACCTAAACTAAGTGTGCTTCCCACTTCTCCACACTGAGGTTTCTACTCGATGCCAGACTTATACCTGAAGTACCACTCAGAAGGGCCTCACGTGCCCTTACAGACTGAGAGACGGGACTGAAAATAGCAGCTGGCCTGGAGGGGATAGAAAGACCAGAGAAAGGCCAGGCCTAGGTGTCTGGCTGGACCAAGCCAGCACTAACAGGACCCACCAGGGTGCCTGGCATTCTGACTCCTGAAACAGACTGGGTTCTGTGATCCCTTGCAGAAACAGGAGTTAACGGTGGGGTTGTCATCAGGTACAAGGTGTCAATTAAAGAGACGCCCCCTCATTTCTTGGAGGGGTACTAAAACCAGCCAAGATAGACAGAAAGACACTGCTGGACGTCGACTGTCAGGAGTCCCCACAGCCCAGTAGCCACCACGGTGGCCCTGACCAAGGGCAGCTGTGGGCCAGCCTTGAAAGCAGCCCCTGCTGGGGAGGCAAAGGCTGGAATATGGGAGCAGAGGCAGCAGCCGGAACTCTGGATGTCACCAGGGGCCTCCTGGGTCCCCCCGACAGGTCCCCGGCTCCCCCAGGAAACCCATCCACGCAGACACCCCACTCTCCCACAGATGCTGGAGAACACTCTGGGTGAGAACACAGTGGATGCCTCCTGTCCCTCCAGGCGCCAGCGGCCCCTGTGCTTGCACCTCTTCTATGGCGCACCTGACGCCAGGGGGTGTGGACAAGGGCAGACTCTGAAACTAGAGCTCTGGGCTTCCCCAGGACAACTGTGGGATACAAACAGAAGGCCAGAAAGCCAGCACAGGAGAAAAGTGGGGCTCTGCACCCATGTTCAACAGCCTGACAGTGGTCTGCAGCCACCTCGCAACTGAGCCCACCCATCAGACCCAGACCTTGGCAGCCTGCTCTCCACGCCGTCTCCCAGCCCCTGATCTGGGCGCCCAAAGACCTTCATCCCTTGACCCCGGTCCAGTGGAAACATCGCAGGGAATTCCTGTGCTCATGCTGCTCTTCCCGTGGGAAAATACCGGGGGTGAGCCCTGAGGTGGAAGAAGCCAGGCTTCACCAGGAAGCCCACAAGGAATACAGGTTGGGGCATGTGCCCTTTGGCGAGGCTGAGAAGTCTGGAGCTTGCTGGGACTCTTCCAGGAACCCAGGGCCCAGCAGGAGCTGGGCAGAGGCAAAACCAGCTTGTCCACAAACACTGGGGACAGTCAGTGGGAAGGAGTCCACTTCAGCCTGCAGCAAAGGTGGCTTCCAAAGACAGGCTACAAGACTGAGCCCAGCCTCAGAGGTAGGACACAGCTGAGTACCAAACCCCTGGGTTTCTCTCGAGAATCTAGCTTCCAGACACTCTCCTGACCCTATTTTTGCCCTACAATAATTCCTCATCCACAGGTGGGTTCTCAGCCCCACACAACCACCTAGAGATGAGGGAGAGGGAGATAAAGAGTCCTATCTACTCACACCCCACCTGGCTGCCCAGTACCACTCTGCCACTATGGTCACAACATGGTGAAGGTATGTAAGAGGGAGAATCCTGGGCCCAGAGTCCAAAGCCCTGCAAACATCCCTTCCCCCATCCCTCCAAACAGGCCCCAGGGCCCAGGAACACATGCCTACCTTGGGGACCAAGGAGAGCAATGTACCACATGGTGGAGGTCACGACCCTACACTCAGCCCCCAACCAACCACTGAAGCACCCACACCAGACCCAGCCCAGCCCTGCCAAGCACTCAGCCCTCAGGAACAGGGCTGGGTACTCTGAGTCACCTCTCTCTGCAGTTGCCTTTATGACAAGTAGCCAGAGGGGTCTGAGGGAAGAGAGCTCCATCAACATTAAAAAGCACCTAGCTCAGCTCTGTACCCCTCAGCCTTGGCCTGGCCCCACTCACCCTTGCAGCCTCGCAGCAGCCTAGCTGGTCAGAACTGCAGGGCAGGACAATGGCAGGGAAGGCGGCTGGGAACCCCAGGCTAGGCTGGCAACCCCACCCCCACCAGCTCCCCAGAGGTACACACAAACCGTTGGTATGGAACCAGCAAAGAGCTCTCCCTGGAGGAGGAGACTCCAAGGTGTCAGGCCTGGCAAGCTCCCCAGAGCTGGCAGCACCTCTAAGAGTACTCTGTCCATCCCTCCTACCCAGTAGGACTCCCCAGAGTTCCCTCCCCTCAATGCCTCCCTTGCCCTTGTCCATACCAGGTGCACATTCTGAAGGTTTCTCACTTTAAAAATGTCCCCTCCCTACCATTCCACCCAGCACAGATCAGAGACACATTCCCATGTGTGGTTATCTCTGCTGGTTATGCTCTGAGGACAGAGCCCACTGTGCTGGCGTAGCACAGTGCCATTCCCCCCTCCACGCAGTGGGAGCTTCAACATATGCTGACTTCTCCTTAGGACAAAAAGTTGGGTAAAGAAATAAAAAGTCCAGTGTCTCTGCCCCTTGTACCCCAGGGAATAAAATTTCTGGGCCTGCAGGAACCTTACAACTGGATGAACCTGCCTCTTCAGCAGGAATCACAAGTTCACTCTGAAGCTGCCCTCTGCTTAAACACTACTGTTGCTGGGCAACTCGGTGCACCATGAGACCACCTCTGGAGCTGGAGGCCAGGTTGAACTGGTGGACAGCTCTTCCTTAGGTTTAGATGAGCTGCATCCTTGTAATTTCCACTTATTGGTCCCAGAGATGGCATGTGAATCTGAAAAGGCCCTCTACCAGCTGTCCCCCAAAACGTCAAAGCCAGCCTTTGAGGCATATGCCACCAGCCAATATGCCCTTCAGTCATCTCTCCTAAGGTACCATCTCCTCGTGTCCTTGAGATGTGCCCGACGTCCAGGAAACGTGTCCAGGAGACTGGACATATCCTCTCCCATCATCTGGGCCCAGGAGGTGACACACAGGGCCTTGGAAGCTGTAGCAGGGAGACCACATAGCTTATCTTCCCAATCAGAATATGTTCAATATAGTAAAGAGGCAGTATTAACTATGCCAGGAAAACAGGCACAAATAGGACAAATGGCCTAACTCTAAGTCACTGGACCCCCATCATAGCTCATTTACTCCACTGAGATTCCAAGCCCTTCCAGGAGCCACCACACACCCAGGCTCACTGTTATCTCCTCATCTACCACGCCTGGTGAGGGGCTGAGAAGAGATTGCTAATGGCCATCACGATACACTCACCTGTATGTTGTACCACACTTACCCCCAATTAAAACAATGGTTGCCTCCAATACTGGATCCCCTACTGTGCACAGGGTTCTCTGGTTAGTGTGAGGGGTGGGGGCAGGGGAGCTCAAGGGTGACCTGCCCTCAGGAAGCTTATACCCTAAATACACACAAAGATAATCGCACACACATGGTCTTGACAGTCCTCAAACACATGAGGTAGGCTGTGCCGCAGCCTAGGATGAATGGCTCAGAGCAGGGCTGGTGAGCAGGGAGGCGTCCGTGGCCCAAACCTTAGTCTCAATTCCCCAACTCCCACCACGCACATATACTGTAGGGCCCTAGGAAAACAGCTACGAGACCTGGCAGACGGGGGCCAGGTCAGGAGGAACAGGGGGACCATCTTCTCAACCCTCACTCCTTCTTATCCATCCACTACCTTTTCAAAGAAGAGCAGCTTTTTTCGAGATACTCTGCACCCACCTAATACATCCTGACTGCTTCGGGCCTCTCCTAGGGGCATCAGTGCCGTGGGGGAGCACTAGAGGGCGCCCCTGCCCTTCCTAGTGAGGAATGCCCAGCCATCTGCAACTGCGGCCCCAGGGCAAAGGCACCCCAAACCTCTGGGCCAGTGGACAGGCATCTGAAAACTCCAGATGGGGATCCTGCAGCTACATTCAGTCACTCCATTTCAGGATGTTTAGTCTACAGCTTCCTGCCTCAATTAGCTCAGGTCCCATTCTCTCCTCAAAAGCCCTAAAGCAAGCCTTCTGGGTAAGCACCAAGGGTAGTTTGTTTCTTCCAGGCCAGCCATCCCAACCTTCAAGGCACACAGGGCCAGGGTGATGCTGACCAGGTCTCACACCTCACCAGGCCACCTCCCCAAAGATCAGCCACCCCCCTTCTGCCTGGATACAAGGCCACAGAAACTGCCCCTGCAACCTGCACCAGCGAAGGGCCCCAGGGAGGGCAGGAATGCCCTGGATGCCTTCCATCCTTCTGAGGACAAACTTAGAATTCAACTATGAGAAGGACAAAAACTTCAGCTCCCTTTTGTCCGCAAGTGACCTGAAAGGCTATTGACTCTGAAGGCCATTAGGAGACATGGAGAAAGAGGAGAAGGAAAACGGAGGGTGACAGCAGACAGTGACAAAGTCACGGCCTACAGGGCTCAGAGCCCAAAGCCTGGGCATCCACCCAGCAATGACTTAATGGACATGTTCCCCAGTATCTACTCTACCCGGAAAAGGCCCAGAGACACCCCGCAGGCAGCAGCACTGAGCCTGGAGTCTGCGCCCGTGCTGACCTAGGCCCCCAGCTCCTCCCAGCAAATGCCCTGTTCGGGTCTCCTGCCACCTTCCCTGCCCCACCATCTACAAATATCTCTGAGTTGTCAAAGGGCCACCAGGCTCAGTCTGAGCATCTGAGGAAGGCCCATCCTCTTCTTCCCAAGCTTCCCCTGGGCTGCAGGTGACCAGCAGTTTCTCTGGGTACTGGTGAGTAGGGGCTGGGGAGTAGGGACAGAAGCTGATATACTAAGCAGGGGAGGCAAAGGGCTGATGCACCCCACACACCTGTCCATGAGGCACACAGAGGGCTGCCAGCCATACAGGGCCCAATCTATAGAGGCCCTGCATTTCCCCACTCCTTCCACTCCTTCCCCAGACTCACAGTGTCACAAGGGAAGAGAAGAACAAGGACTTCAGGAGTCCCCTCCCCTCTGCAAGGGAATAGGTTCAGGGACCATCTGCCTATCTCTTGACCCGTTACCACTGTGCCCAGGCTTCCTACCCCATGTCCTGCCCGTATTTCCAGCAAAGCAGGAGGGGCAGACTTGCTGAAAGAACAGGAGCAGCAGGCTTGCCACACCTGCTGGGATTGACACAGATGCTGCCTGCCCAGGGCTGGCCCCAGGCTCTTGGGAAGGGAGGACACCTGCTCCTACGGCCCATGCCTGGATCCCCTCCCTGGGCACCGCTGGACAATTCAGCAGCCTCTCTGACTCAGGATTAGGAGAAGGCAAAAGGGCCAAGCAGGAGGCAGGGGCTGTGATACTGTGATTGTAAGAAACATATTTGCTCATTCAGATGATGGTCTTTGCCCACAGTTCCTGGCTCACAGCTTCCAAAACCCTTCGAATCTCCTGAGTAATAAGAGCAATGGGAGCATCTTTTAATCATAATATTTCATCTCTTATCCTCAGTTCCTAAAATCAATTTGGAGCCTTAAAGGTAAAATAGGTACTTTCTTATTCATAACCAGCCCCTTTCCACCACAACTGGGTTTATGTTCATGAGATGACTTTTGGAAGCGTCAGGCTGGCAGCCAGGCAGCCAAGCATGAGTACTGGGTTGGAACTTTCAGTCCCACTCCCAGAGTTCTTGGGATTGGGGAGGGGCTGGAGTCTGAATCAGTCCCCAGTGGCCAGCAATTTAATCACTCCTGCCTATGTAATGAAGCCTCCTTAAAAACCCAGAAGGACAGGGTTAGAAGAGCTTCCAGGTTGGTAAACACATGGATATTGAGGGACATGACAGGAAGAGTCATGGAAACGCCTCGCCCTTCCCCATACGTTGCCCTATGTGTCTCTTCCATCTGGCTGTTTCTGAGTTATATCCTTTTATAATAAACCTATAATCTAGTAAGTAAAATGTTTCTCTTGAGTTCTGTGAGCTGCTCTAGCAAGCTAAATGAACAAAGGAAGGGGGGGTCACTGGAACCTCCGAGTAAGAACTGGCTGGGGTAGCATAGGTGATGACCTGGACTTGTAATTGGCATCAGAAGCAGTTGGGCAGTTCTGCAGGACTGAGCCCATATGGAATCTGATGCTGTGATCTTGTAAGGTAGTGTCAGAATAGAGCTGAGCTGTAGGATATCCAGCTGGTGTGAAGAATTCCTTGGATGTGTGGGGAACCCCCAACCACCACAATGGAACTGGGTGCAGAATCCTAAATGGTATGAAAACCCTCTTAGGTCCTCTACCTAGGCTGAGCTGAAAGACTCCTGCATCCCTCTCTTGGTAGGATTCAGTACATTCAAAACAGCAGCTGTCATCAGCACCTGCCATATTCCAAGACCAAGAGACTACAGAGATGGTCAGAGCTCCAGGGGTCTCCAAGGACAGAGGGTGGGCCACAGATTTCAGGGAGGCTGTCCACAGCCCTTTGCCAGGTCAGGAGAGCAACTGGGGGTGAGTGTATGAGGAGATGGGTGGGAACACCAATTACTTGACTGCCATCTCTCAGAGACGCAATCACAGGGTTGGAGGGGGCAGCTAAGAGGGTGCAAGAAGGCTGAGGTGCAGTTCCCACCTCTCCCCTTGGCCGGGCTTCCTGAAGTCAAGGCGAGAGGTGCATGTAGCGAAGCAAAGAATTCATACAGATGGCCTTCCCTGCCTTCCTCCTGCTCCTCCACCTCCCTCAGGGGTGGGTGTGCCAACTCATGAAGCAAGACACATGCCTGAGGAGCTGGACTTTCCCGTCTGCAAGGCCCTCAAGTGCTGTGCCCTTGCAACTCACCTGTGTCCGCGTGCCAGCAATGAGCCTCGACTTAGGGAGACAGCATTCCCCCGCTCAACCATGCAAAGCCAGAGCCCCAGCAGCCTGCCCAAGGACCCCACCTGCCCTGTCCTCCCTGCCCCGGGGTCCAGGCGGCAAACACCCCAGCACTCTCCCCAAGGAGCAAAGCTGTCTATCCAAGGACGTACCTGGGCTTCTGAGTTGGTTCCTTGGCTTCTCTCAAGCCAAACCAGCTACTCTTGGCCTTTTCCTCCCCGCTGGACGAGTGGTGGGGGGAGGCCCCTAGGGTGAGACCCCCTTTCTCCCCCAGGGAGCTGCGGCGCCCCGACTCACTCCGACTCAGCCCCTGGTGGTGATGGTGGAAGAGGCCCATCCGGGGCTTCCGCTCCTCCTTCCGGGCTCCCTCCTTCTCCGCCAGCGCCTCAGAGGAGGCCACCATGGGCATGGCGACCTGCACTGGCTTCCCCTCTGGGAGCCGGGTCCCCTCCTCGTCTGTGGGGCAGCTGGCTCCAGTGGCCAATGCTTTGGCCTGAGAGCTCAGCCCCTCCTGTCCAGGCACCAGCTCCGAGCTGACAGTGCTGCGGCTGCCTCTGCCCCAGGAGTCATCGGCAGACCGAGGCCCCTCCTCAGAGGGCCGAGAAGAGACACAATGCAGGGAGCTGGAGGGTGGGAACGGGCCTGAGATGGAGCTGCGGTGCCGCAAGGGGCCCTGGGGCTCCTCATTGTAAATGTGGCTCCCGTTGACGCAGAGAGAAGAGCGGGAGGCAGTTTCGACATGGCCCTGAAGGTCGACAAGGGCCCGGGGAAGAGCCGCTCGCATCTGGNCTGCACCTGGGGAGGAGGCGGTTCATCAGACTCTCCCGGACGGACTGGTGAGGACATCTCAGCTGCAGGAGAAATGGTGACCACATCCCAAGGCCAGGCATCGCCAACTGTATTGAGCTCATGCAAAAGCTGGCTTTCGCCTTGGGAGATCCCCTGGTCCTGGCCTTCAGGGGCGTCCTCTGGGCCAGGCAACCTCTCGCGCACACTGATCACTTCTGGAGAGCTAAACAGAGATGTCGCACTGTCCACTGGACTCTGCCCTGCTTCCTCTCCTGGGGCCGGTGGCTCTCTGTCCACCTCAGAATCTGAGGCTCTCGGGTACAGCTGGGTTGGTGTGGAGGGCAGGTCGGCCCCTACTGAATTGAGGGACCCCGCATCGGCCGCACTCGTGCTCTGGTAGTCCAGTCCTGAGTCCAAAGGAACCCTGAGCTCCAGCCACATGCTGCTCACACCTCTTCCTCCTCCCCCAGGCCCCCCCTGGGGCTCAGCTGCCTTCACTGTCATGGCTCCAGGGCCTGGGTCTTGCAGCCCAGTCGCCTCCAGCCCCACTCCTGCAGGGGCCAAGATCTCGCTCCTGGCCTCTGGATGCAGCCTGCTGGCTGTAAAGATGTTGAAGGCGTCGTCCCACTCAGGCAGGGCTTTCCCAGGGGAGGCCAGGGGGGTGGGGCTGGCCCTCGAGGCACTGGGGAGAGAGGGAGCAGGTGAAGGAGAGTTTAGTGCTATGTCTGCTAAGAGTTCCTCGAAGAAAGGGTTGCTCTGCAAGGAGGTGAGGAACGGGTTGGTGAGACCCAAGAATCCAGACGGGGTGGCTTCAGGGGCGGCGGCCGTGGCTGCAGCAGGGGAGGCGGCTGCAAAAAGGTTAGTGCTTAGCATGGGAGCAGCGCTGGGAGCAGGAGTAGGGGGGGCTGGAGCACAGGGGGGGCAAGGGAGGTGGTGAGGAAGAGCAGCTGGGCCAGGTTCTACCTGAGGAGACACGTCCAGGCTGTGGAGGGAGACAAAACCATGAGCCTCCTGGTTAACGCGGAGACTGGAAACGCCCCTGCTGAATACCATACCCTCCCACCCCGTGCCTTGGGACAGGTGCCACACACCTCCAGGCTGAGTTCGGGCATGTGCGCCAGGAGGCAGAGAGAAGCACGTAACATCATTAGGCCCTACCCAAGGAGGAGGATGCCGGACAGAGCTCATTTAACCCCACACCAGCCCAAGAGAGCAATGATCCCATTTTACAGGCAGGATCCCGACCTAAACTAAGTGTGCTTCCCACTTCTCCACACTGAGGTTTCTACTCGATGCCAGACTTATACCTGAAGTACCACTCAGAAGGGCCTCACGTGCCCTTACAGACTGAGAGACGGGACTGAAAATAGCAGCTGGCCTGGAGGGGATAGAAAGACCAGAGAAAGGCCAGGCCTAGGTGTCTGGCTGGACCAAGCCAGCACTAACAGGACCCACCAGGGTGCCTGGCATTCTGACTCCTGAAACAGACTGGGTTCTGTGATCCCTTGCAGAAACAGGAGTTAACGGTGGGGTTGTCATCAGGTACAAGGTGTCAATTAAAGAGACGCCCCCTCATTTCTTGGAGGGGTACTAAAACCAGCCAAGATAGACAGAAAGACACTGCTGGACGTCGACTGTCAGGAGTCCCCACAGCCCAGTAGCCACCACGGTGGCCCTGACCAAGGGCAGCTGTGGGCCAGCCTTGAAAGCAGCCCCTGCTGGGGAGGCAAAGGCTGGAATATGGGAGCAGAGGCAGCAGCCGGAACTCTGGATGTCACCAGGGGCCTCCTGGGTCCCCCCGACAGGTCCCCGGCTCCCCCAGGAAACCCATCCACGCAGACACCCCACTCTCCCACAGATGCTGGAGAACACTCTGGGTGAGAACACAGTGGATGCCTCCTGTCCCTCCAGGCGCCAGCGGCCCCTGTGCTTGCACCTCTTCTATGGCGCACCTGACGCCAGGGGGTGTGGACAAGGGCAGACTCTGAAACTAGAGCTCTGGGCTTCCCCAGGACAACTGTGGGATACAAACAGAAGGCCAGAAAGCCAGCACAGGAGAAAAGTGGGGCTCTGCACCCATGTTCAACAGCCTGACAGTGGTCTGCAGCCACCTCGCAACTGAGCCCACCCATCAGACCCAGACCTTGGCAGCCTGCTCTCCACGCCGTCTCCCAGCCCCTGATCTGGGCGCCCAAAGACCTTCATCCCTTGACCCCGGTCCAGTGGAAACATCGCAGGGAATTCCTGTGCTCATGCTGCTCTTCCCGTGGGAAAATACCGGGGGTGAGCCCTGAGGTGGAAGAAGCCAGGCTTCACCAGGAAGCCCACAAGGAATACAGGTTGGGGCATGTGCCCTTTGGCGAGGCTGAGAAGTCTGGAGCTTGCTGGGACTCTTCCAGGAACCCAGGGCCCAGCAGGAGCTGGGCAGAGGCAAAACCAGCTTGTCCACAAACACTGGGGACAGTCAGTGGGAAGGAGTCCACTTCAGCCTGCAGCAAAGGTGGCTTCCAAAGACAGGCTACAAGACTGAGCCCAGCCTCAGAGGTAGGACACAGCTGAGTACCAAACCCCTGGGTTTCTCTCGAGAATCTAGCTTCCAGACACTCTCCTGACCCTATTTTTGCCCTACAATAATTCCTCATCCACAGGTGGGTTCTCAGCCCCACACAACCACCTAGAGATGAGGGAGAGGGAGATAAAGAGTCCTATCTACTCACACCCCACCTGGCTGCCCAGTACCACTCTGCCACTATGGTCACAACATGGTGAAGGTATGTAAGAGGGAGAATCCTGGGCCCAGAGTCCAAAGCCCTGCAAACATCCCTTCCCCCATCCCTCCAAACAGGCCCCAGGGCCCAGGAACACATGCCTACCTTGGGGACCAAGGAGAGCAATGTACCACATGGTGGAGGTCACGACCCTACACTCAGCCCCCAACCAACCACTGAAGCACCCACACCAGACCCAGCCCAGCCCTGCCAAGCACTCAGCCCTCAGGAACAGGGCTGGGTACTCTGAGTCACCTCTCTCTGCAGTTGCCTTTATGACAAGTAGCCAGAGGGGTCTGAGGGAAGAGAGCTCCATCAACATTAAAAAGCACCTAGCTCAGCTCTGTACCCCTCAGCCTTGGCCTGGCCCCACTCACCCTTGCAGCCTCGCAGCAGCCTAGCTGGTCAGAACTGCAGGGCAGGACAATGGCAGGGAAGGCGGCTGGGAACCCCAGGCTAGGCTGGCAACCCCACCCCCACCAGCTCCCCAGAGGTACACACAAACCGTTGGTATGGAACCAGCAAAGAGCTCTCCCTGGAGGAGGAGACTCCAAGGTGTCAGGCCTGGCAAGCTCCCCAGAGCTGGCAGCACCTCTAAGAGTACTCTGTCCATCCCTCCTACCCAGTAGGACTCCCCAGAGTTCCCTCCCCTCAATGCCTCCCTTGCCCTTGTCCATACCAGGTGCACATTCTGAAGGTTTCTCACTTTAAAAATGTCCCCTCCCTACCATTCCACCCAGCACAGATCAGAGACACATTCCCATGTGTGGTTATCTCTGCTGGTTATGCTCTGAGGACAGAGCCCACTGTGCTGGCGTAGCACAGTGCCATTCCCCCCTCCACGCAGTGGGAGCTTCAACATATGCTGACTTCTCCTTAGGACAAAAAGTTGGGTAAAGAAATAAAAAGTCCAGTGTCTCTGCCCCTTGTACCCCAGGGAATAAAATTTCTGGGCCTGCAGGAACCTTACAACTGGATGAACCTGCCTCTTCAGCAGGAATCACAAGTTCACTCTGAAGCTGCCCTCTGCTTAAACACTACTGTTGCTGGGCAACTCGGTGCACCATGAGACCACCTCTGGAGCTGGAGGCCAGGTTGAACTGGTGGACAGCTCTTCCTTAGGTTTAGATGAGCTGCATCCTTGTAATTTCCACTTATTGGTCCCAGAGATGGCATGTGAATCTGAAAAGGCCCTCTACCAGCTGTCCCCCAAAACGTCAAAGCCAGCCTTTGAGGCATATGCCACCAGCCAATATGCCCTTCAGTCATCTCTCCTAAGGTACCATCTCCTCGTGTCCTTGAGATGTGCCCGACGTCCAGGAAACGTGTCCAGGAGACTGGACATATCCTCTCCCATCATCTGGGCCCAGGAGGTGACACACAGGGCCTTGGAAGCTGTAGCAGGGAGACCACATAGCTTATCTTCCCAATCAGAATATGTTCAATATAGTAAAGAGGCAGTATTAACTATGCCAGGAAAACAGGCACAAATAGGACAAATGGCCTAACTCTAAGTCACTGGACCCCCATCATAGCTCATTTACTCCACTGAGATTCCAAGCCCTTCCAGGAGCCACCACACACCCAGGCTCACTGTTATCTCCTCATCTACCACGCCTGGTGAGGGGCTGAGAAGAGATTGCTAATGGCCATCACGATACACTCACCTGTATGTTGTACCACACTTACCCCCAATTAAAACAATGGTTGCCTCCAATACTGGATCCCCTACTGTGCACAGGGTTCTCTGGTTAGTGTGAGGGGTGGGGGCAGGGGAGCTCAAGGGTGACCTGCCCTCAGGAAGCTTATACCCTAAATACACACAAAGATAATCGCACACACATGGTCTTGACAGTCCTCAAACACATGAGGTAGGCTGTGCCGCAGCCTAGGATGAATGGCTCAGAGCAGGGCTGGTGAGCAGGGAGGCGTCCGTGGCCCAAACCTTAGTCTCAATTCCCCAACTCCCACCACGCACATATACTGTAGGGCCCTAGGAAAACAGCTACGAGACCTGGCAGACGGGGGCCAGGTCAGGAGGAACAGGGGGACCATCTTCTCAACCCTCACTCCTTCTTATCCATCCACTACCTTTTCAAAGAAGAGCAGCTTTTTTCGAGATACTCTGCACCCACCTAATACATCCTGACTGCTTCGGGCCTCTCCTAGGGGCATCAGTGCCGTGGGGGAGCACTAGAGGGCGCCCCTGCCCTTCCTAGTGAGGAATGCCCAGCCATCTGCAACTGCGGCCCCAGGGCAAAGGCACCCCAAACCTCTGGGCCAGTGGACAGGCATCTGAAAACTCCAGATGGGGATCCTGCAGCTACATTCAGTCACTCCATTTCAGGATGTTTAGTCTACAGCTTCCTGCCTCAATTAGCTCAGGTCCCATTCTCTCCTCAAAAGCCCTAAAGCAAGCCTTCTGGGTAAGCACCAAGGGTAGTTTGTTTCTTCCAGGCCAGCCATCCCAACCTTCAAGGCACACAGGGCCAGGGTGATGCTGACCAGGTCTCACACCTCACCAGGCCACCTCCCCAAAGATCAGCCACCCCCCTTCTGCCTGGATACAAGGCCACAGAAACTGCCCCTGCAACCTGCACCAGCGAAGGGCCCCAGGGAGGGCAGGAATGCCCTGGATGCCTTCCATCCTTCTGAGGACAAACTTAGAATTCAACTATGAGAAGGACAAAAACTTCAGCTCCCTTTTGTCCGCAAGTGACCTGAAAGGCTATTGACTCTGAAGGCCATTAGGAGACATGGAGAAAGAGGAGAAGGAAAACGGAGGGTGACAGCAGACAGTGACAAAGTCACGGCCTACAGGGCTCAGAGCCCAAAGCCTGGGCATCCACCCAGCAATGACTTAATGGACATGTTCCCCAGTATCTACTCTACCCGGAAAAGGCCCAGAGACACCCCGCAGGCAGCAGCACTGAGCCTGGAGTCTGCGCCCATGCTGACCTAGGCCCCCAGCTCCTCCCAGCAAATGCCCTGTTCGGGTCTCCTGCCACCTTCCCTGCCCCACCATCTACAAATATCTCTGAGTTGTCAAAGGGCCACCAGGCTCAGTCTGAGCATCTGAGGAAGGCCCATCCTCTTCTTCCCAAGCTTCCCCTGGGCTGCAGGTGACCAGCAGTTTCTCTGGGTACTGGTGAGTAGGGGCTGGGGAGTAGGGACAGAAGCTGATATACTAAGCAGGGGAGGCAAAGGGCTGATGCACCCCACACACCTGTCCATGAGGCACACAGAGGGCTGCCAGCCATACAGGGCCCAATCTATAGAGGCCCTGCATTTCCCCACTCCTTCCACTCCTTCCCCAGACTCACAGTGTCACAAGGGAAGAGAAGAACAAGGACTTCAGGAGTCCCCTCCCCTCTGCAAGGGAATAGGTTCAGGGACCATCTGCCTATCTCTTGACCCGTTACCACTGTGCCCAGGCTTCCTACCCCATGTCCTGCCCGTATTTCCAGCAAAGCAGGAGGGGCAGACTTGCTGAAAGAACAGGAGCAGCAGGCTTGCCACACCTGCTGGGATTGACACAGATGCTGCCTGCCCAGGGCTGGCCCCAGGCTCTTGGGAAGGGAGGACACCTGCTCCTACGGCCCATGCCTGGATCCCCTCCCTGGGCACCGCTGGACAATTCAGCAGCCTCTCTGACTCAGGATTAGGAGAAGGCAAAAGGGCCAAGCAGGAGGCAGGGGCTGTGATACTGTGATTGTAAGAAACATATTTGCTCATTCAGATGATGGTCTTTGCCCACAGTTCCTGGCTCACAGCTTCCAAAACCCTTCGAATCTCCTGAGTAATAAGAGCAATGGGAGCATCTTTTAATCATAATATTTCATCTCTTATCCTCAGTTCCTAAAATCAATTTGGAGCCTTAAAGGTAAAATAGGTACTTTCTTATTCATAACCAGCCCCTTTCCACCACAACTGGGTTTATGTTCATGAGATGACTTTTGGAAGCGTCAGGCTGGCAGCCAGGCAGCCAAGCATGAGTACTGGGTTGGAACTTTCAGTCCCACTCCCAGAGTTCTTGGGATTGGGGAGGGGCTGGAGTCTGAATCAGTCCCCAGTGGCCAGCAATTTAATCACTCCTGCCTATGTAATGAAGCCTCCTTAAAAACCCAGAAGGACAGGGTTAGAAGAGCTTCCAGGTTGGTAAACACATGGATATTGAGGGACATGACAGGAAGAGTCATGGAAACGCCTCGCCCTTCCCCATACGTTGCCCTATGTGTCTCTTCCATCTGGCTGTTTCTGAGTTATATCCTTTTATAATAAACCTATAATCTAGTAAGTAAAATGTTTCTCTTGAGTTCTGTGAGCTGCTCTAGCAAGCTAAATGAACAAAGGAAGGGGGGGTCACTGGAACCTCCGAGTAAGAACTGGCTGGGGTAGCATAGGTGATGACCTGGACTTGTAATTGGCATCAGAAGCAGTTGGGCAGTTCTGCAGGACTGAGCCCATATGGAATCTGATGCTGTGATCTTGTAAGGTAGTGTCAGAATAGAGCTGAGCTGTAGGATATCCAGCTGGTGTGAAGAATTCCTTGGATGTGTGGGGAACCCCCAACCACACTCCCAGCTCCTCCCAGCAAATGACCAGCTCTTAGGTCCTCTACCTAGGCTGAGCTGAAAGACTCCTGCATCCCTCTCTTGGTAGGATTCAGTACATTCAAAACAGCAGCTGTCATCAGCACCTGCCATATTCCAAGACCAAGAGACTACAGAGATGGTCAGAGCTCCAGGGGTCTCCAAGGACAGAGGGTGGGCCACAGATTTCAGGGAGGCTGTCCACAGCCCTCTGCCAGGTCAGGAGAGCAACTGGGGGTGAGTGTATGAGGAGATGGGTGGGAACACCAATTACTTGACTGCCATCTCTCAGAGACGCAATCACAGGGTTGGAGGGGGCAGCTAAGAGGGTGCAAGAAGGCTGAGGTGCAGTTCCCACCTCTCCCCTTGGCCGGGCTTCCTGAAGTCAAGGCGAGAGGTGCATGTAGCGAAGCAAAGAATTCATACAGATGGCCTTCCCTGCCTTCCTCCTGCTCCTCCACCTCCCTCAGGGGTGGGTGTGCCAACTCATGAAGCAAGACACATGCCTGAGGAGCTGGACTTTCCCGTCTGCAAGGCCCTCAAGTGCTGTGCCCTTGCAACTCACCTGTGTCCGCGTGCCAGCAATGAGCCTCGACTTAGGGAGACAGCATTCCCCCGCTCAACCATGCAAAGCCAGAGCCCCAGCAGCCTGCCCAAGGACCCCACCTGCCCTGTCCTCCCTGCCCCGGGGTCCAGGCGGCAAACACCCCAGCACTCTCCCCAAGGAGCAAAGCTGTCTATCCAAGGACGTACCTGGGCTTCTGAGTTGGTTCCTTGGCTTCTCTCAAGCCAAACCAGCTACTCTTGGCCTTTTCCTCCCCGCTGGACGAGTGGTGGGGGGAGGCCCCTAGGGTGAGACCCCCTTTCTCCCCCAGGGAGCTGCGGCGCCCCGACTCACTCCGACTCAGCCCCTGGTGGTGATGGTGGAAGAGGCCCATCCGGGGCTTCCGCTCCTCCTTCCGGGCTCCCTCCTTCTCCGCCAGCGCCTCAGAGGAGGCCACCATGGGCATGGCGACCTGCACTGGCTTCCCCTCTGGGAGCCGGGTCCCCTCCTCGTCTGTGGGGCAGCTGGCTCCAGTGGCCAATGCTTTGGCCTGAGAGCTCAGCCCCTCCTGTCCAGGCACCAGCTCCGAGCTGACAGTGCTGCGGCTGCCTCTGCCCCAGGAGTCATCGGCAGACCGAGGCCCCTCCTCAGAGGGCCGAGAAGAGACACAATGCAGGGAGCTGGAGGGTGGGAACGGGCCTGAGATGGAGCTGCGGTGCCGCAAGGGGCCCTGGGGCTCCTCATTGTAAATGTGGCTCCCGTTGACGCAGAGAGAAGAGCGGGAGGCAGTTTCGACATGGCCCTGAAGGTCGACAAGGGCCCGGGGAAGAGCCGCTCGCATCTGGCTGGCCTCATCGCTGTGGGTCCTTTTGTGGGTGAGCAGCTTGGGGGACTGTGTAGAGTCCCTGCCTGAGAAAGAAGCACAAGCAGGGTGAGCACAGGACAGAGAAGCCCAGGCTGGGCCTCCCCTGCTGCCCTGAGGGGTCAGTCTGCCCTCCTCAGCCCCTCAGGGAGGCACAGCCTATTGGTCGCTCACCCCCTTCAGTGGAGAGCCAGCTGGTGCGGCTTGGCGAGCGGGTGAGGAGCTCGGCGCCAGGGCCCTGGTAGGCCAGGCTCCCGCTGGTGGAGGACAGGGTACTGTCCGAGCCCAGCGAGGTGCTGGACTGGGTCAGGGACGACTTGCGCAGCTTGTTGCGGAGGAAGAAGCCTTTGGCTTTGCCCATCTTGCTCAGGTTGCCCAGCTCAGGGTCCTCCAGGGCGCTGCTTGGGAGGATGGCGGAGGCGGATTCCAGCTCAAACTTCTTCTTGCCCTTCATCTTGTCCTTGATCTTGCTGAAGGGGGACCTTGGCTTATCCTTCACAGACAGGTCAAACATGCTGGCGCTCAAGGTGTTGCGAGTGAACTGGATGGTGACTTGGATCTCCCCACGTTCCTTCTCCTTCTTGCCGGGCTTGGAGTGCAGCTTGTACCACCTGCAAGAAGAGGGGGAGCAGCAGTGAAATGAGCCAGGCAGAGAAAGACAAGTACCAAATGATTTCACTCATCTGTGGAGTATAACAACAAAGCAAAACTGAAGGAAAAAAACAGCAGCAGAATCACAGACTCCAAGAAGGGACAAGCGGTTACCAAAGGGGAGGGGTGGGGAGGGAGGGAGAAGGGGAGTGAGGGGTATTATGATTAGTACACATCATGTGGGGGGATCATGGGGAAGATAGTGTAGCACAGAGAAGACAAATAGTGACTCTGTGACATCCTACTACACTGATGGACAGTGACTTCAGAGGGGTGTGACGGGGAACTTGATAATATGGGTGAATGTAGTAACCACAATGTTGCTCATGTGAAACCTCCATAAGAATGTATATCAATGATACCTTAATTAAAAAAAATAAAAAGAAGAGGGGGAGCGGGCAGTGCTCTGGTCACAAGCACAGGGGGCCTGGCCTCACAGGCAGCCAGGCACCACAGAGCCCCTCCCTACACTGGCGGCCACAGCAGCCCCTCCCCAAGGCTCCTGCTCTGACACATAGGCCATGCCTTCCAAGCCACAGGCACAGCTGAGACACTATCCTCAACTTTCCCATGATGGAGAAAATCACATCCTGAGGAGGGGAAGCTCCTTGGCGCAGCTGCCACACTGTGCCACCCACTCACCCCAGCACCTTCCCAGGAGCCCAGAGACCTCCCCCTGCCCGATACAACCCTATATCTGAAACCCTGAGGCCCAGATGGGTGAGGCTGGGTCCGGGAGGGACCCTTACATCTCCAGGCCCCTGGTATAGGCAGATATCCACATTTTCCCTTACATCACCTCCTCTGACAGTTCTAGCCAAAGCTCTGCTCTGAGCTGCCAGTAAGCCCAGGACAGAACAGCATGTCCAGAGGTCCAGAGGCCCAGGGCCAGGAACACAGGAACACTAGTGCACATACACACTGACATGTACACCTCACCCACACACTGACTCACCCGAAGCCCCACCAGGAACACCTCTGCAAGATGGAGGAGCAGCTGAGAATGGCACAAATGGGCCTTCAGCAGAAGGCCCAGGGAAAGGAAAGAGCACTCATGGCTGCTGAGTATGTTGTGTGTGCTGCGGCGGAGTGCAGGGGCTCTCATCTCACTCCCATGTACGCCTCGCAACAAGCCTGGGAGGTCAGAGACACTACCCACATTTCACAGATGAGGAGGTTGAGGTTCAGAGGTAAAGTAACTCATCCAAGAGCAAGCAGCCTGTAGGAGGGAAGACTGACAGCGAGGTCTGCACTATTCCAAAGCCCACGTGCTTCCCCTTATACACCCCCAGAGAGACCCCTAGTATCAGTTGTTTGTCCTTCTCAGTCAGGCTGAGTCCCCACCCCTCTGAGCCTCTCCTCTGCACATAGCTGAAGGTCCAGGCTCACCTCAAGTTCTGCACGTGAGCGATAAAGTGGAAACAAAAACAAAACAAAAATCCTGACCATTGAACCCTCGGGGAGGGGTGTGCTCAGAGCTCTTCCTTCCTCCGCTTCTTAAATCCTCCTCCCTAACCACTCAGACTCCTAGGAGGCCTGAGAAGGCAGGGATGACTGATCTGATTTTGCCTGGCTGAGCACACTGTACAGCATCTGTAAGGCAGCCAGATACCCCCTGGTCCCCTTCCCACTCCTTTCAGCCAGATTACATTCTACCCCATCTCTGGCAGATGTGGGCAGAGATTCCACAAAGAAACGGAACCAGAGAGATTCTGGACTTAGGGACACCAAGCCCAAATGATGGGGTCAGCTGCAGGGCTGAACACAGGAGTGACTCAAAACTAGCCCCCTTTCTCACACCAGCACCCAGAATGCATAACCACCTAGCATATAAGAGCTGAAATAAAACATTCAAAGGATGTGTTCCACATATTGCAGGAAATCTCCCATAAGATAGAAGGACAATGCTGAGACAATTAGTAGAGGTCAATCCAAGGAGATTTACCCCAAATAACTGGAAAAGAAAAAGAGAGGAGTTTGCTCCCATGTGAGGAGCTTAGGAAGCTCTCCATTCACAAAACAAGAAAAAAACCTAAGCAACCTGAAAGTCAGTAACTCATAGGGCATTCTGAGGCAGTGAAACTCTTCTGTCTTAGACTGTAACAGTGGATACATGTCATCACATATTTGTCAGAACCATAGAACATAAAACACAAAGAGTCAACTACAGTATAAACTATAGGCTCTAATGATGTATCAATATTAGCTCATCAGTTTTAACAAATGTATCAGATTAATGCAAATGCTAACAATAGAGGAAACTGGGGAGCAGTTAAGGAGTAAATGGGAACTCTCTGTACCTTCCACTCATTTTTCTGTAAACTGAAAACTTTTCTTATAAAAAATAAACTCTACTAATTTTTTTTTTAAAAGGAGAGGGGTGGGGAGTAGGAGAGAATGCAGAGAACACAAAGAACAAGAAACTATGGAAGAAGTAATACAAGAAAGTTTTGCTGAACTGAAGGACGTGAGTACTAGCACAGAAAGGCTCACAAATATGCAACACAATGAACAAAGACACAGCCAGCAGGTATTACTGCAAGGTTTCAGAAAGCCAGGTATAAAAAAGAGACCTTGAAGGTTTCCAAAGAAGGGAAACAGGTTCATACATTCACAAATTAGAAGAGCATTAGGTCCTCACTAGTAGCACTGCACACCACATAGAGTCATGCCTTCAGAATTCTGAGGGAAAAGCTTTCCAGCCTAGAAGTCTAGACCCAGCCAACTGGGCATATAAGTGGAAGCAAGCCCAGTGGATATAGCTGGACTGGTCACTGTAGGACTCTTACATACACACACTGGGTGCATACACACACCCCACACAAAAACAGCCCCCCACACCATACATACACTACACACTACACCACACCCCACATGCCTCAGTCACCCTATGACAGTCATCCCCTACCTGAGACCTGCCAACTCCACAGCACCAGCTCCCTGAGTATCTCATGGCATAAAAGGGTTGGAAGTGGGGAGATCTTCTGTATGAAAAGTCCCAAATATCCAGAAGGACATCATTGTTAAGGGCTTGGCAGTGGTGGTGGTGCTGGTTTTTAATGTTGCAACTAAAAAAAAAAAAAAAAAAGATCTCCCCAGGGGCACCTCCAATTGCATCCCTTTGGAAGAGTCAGTCATGACTAAACCCCTGTGTACCCATCATGGCTGTGCACCTGGCCTTTCCTTGGTGACCCACTAGACGGCCTGAGCAGAGTGAGCCTGGACTGAGGGTTTTCCTTCCTAAACTGAGACCACCCCCTGGGCAGGCTGGGTCAGGACAGACGGTGGCACAAGAAAGGGATGCAGGGCCATGCTCGGAGAGTGTGTGCCCATCTCCCTGTTCTTAAAATAAGCAGGGGCAGGGAGGGAAAAGTGTGGGGCCAGGAGCTGAAAGAGACTGACAGACTGAAGAGATGTGTGTGAGAATGAGTCTAGAAGGAGAAGAGGAGGTTTACTAGAAAGACAGATCAGCTAGCGTCATCTTCATATACCTACCTTCCCAACCTAATGCTCACCATGGGCCTGACCCTTCAACTCTTAAAAGGCCAAGCCCTAGTCACTTTCCCCTTTTGGACTAGGCCCCATTTAGCCCAGGAAGATCCTGGCAGGGTCAGGGCAAGAAAGAAGTGTAGGGACTCCAGCCCCAAACAAACCCTCCATAACCAGAATCAGTAAGCAGACAGCCTTTGCTGGGGCGTGAAGGTCAGGGGCCCTCGGCCCGAGCTGGTCATGCTCCACATGCCACAGCACTGGTAGTGGTTATCTCTGGGGGGGTGAGGCTGCAGGGGACTATCACTGCCTATGCTATTTTTGTCCTGTTTGAATTTTTTATAAAGGGCATATATTACTGTCATTATAGGAAAAAGAGACAAGAAAGTGCCCATTCCCGTGTTACCTCCTGAGTGGCGTGAGCCACAGAACCAGCTGCTCGCCTCTCCCTCCTACCTCCTGGATGAAGGGAGGACGAGTCGCCAGCCAAGGTGAGGCTCAGGTCCTCTGCCCTCCCCAGCCCCCTTCCCCAGAAGGTCACCTTTGCTTCTCCTGCTCTTCCCCAGGGCAGTTGGGGCCCTCTCTCTGGGGCTGCTTTTCAGGGAGGCCAGAAGAGGAAAGAAAAGACTTTGCTCACCATTTTTGGCAACTCCCCCAACCAGAGCAGAGTGAGGTTTGGAATGGTCAGCACCTGCCTCTGGACCCCTAGCTGCTGTCAGCCATCCATCTCCCTAGCAGTCCAGGCACCTCAGGTGTCCCTAAGGCTCGGCCAGAGCAGGCCTCCTCCCTGGAGTGCTGCCCACACAGGCTGAGATGGTGGCAAAGCCACAAAACCACCAGCTCCTGGACAAAAGCCGCACCCCTCCCTTCTACCCCTTACTCCTGCCTCCTCCCGCCTCCTGCTTGTCTGGACGGCCCCCGAGACCTTGGACTTGCCAAGCACGGTGTTACAGTGACTAAGACAAACTCTGGTCACTTTCCCCATTTGAACTGGGCCCCATTTAGCCCAGGAAGATCCTGGGAGGGGCTACAAGAGAGAAGCATATGGACTCCAGGCCCAAACCCACCCTAAGGAACTGGAATGGGTGAGTATAGGCAGCTTTTGCTGGGGCATGGAGGCCAGGAGCCCTCACCCCCAGCTGAACACTGCCAACAAACATACCCCATGGGGGCTAACGATCCCTCAGTGAAACCATGGAGGCTTTTTCTTTATAGAGCCTCACAGTCAGCAAACCCCAGAGCAAACAGGCTCTGAGCACCTCATCCCTACAAACTGAGGCTTCCACAGGGAACATAATAGCAGGGTCCTGTGACCCAGTTCAAGTCCCACCTCCTCGCAACTGCCACCCTCATGGCCTGTGCAAAGCCTCCTCTTCCTGACCAGGCATACAAACTCCAAACCAAACCAACCCTAAAACCAGATCTGGCCACACTCTGCTCCATAACCACCTGGCACTGTCATTCCCAGGTG